CAACGTCGTTGCCAAGCGACGCAAACCCGACCCCGATGGCAAACACCGAGGGGGGGGGGTTGTTTTTCAACGTCGTTGCCAAGCGACGAGAACCCAACCCCAATGGCAAACACCGAGGGGGGGGGGTTGATTTTCAACGTCGTTGCCAAGCGACGCAAACCCGACCCCGATGGCAAACACCGAGGGGGGGGGGTTGTTTTTCAACGTCGTTGCCAAGCGACGAGAACCCAACCCCGATGGCAAACACCGGGGGGGGCGGCTTGTTTTACAACGTCGTTGCCAAGCGACGAAAACCCAACCCCGATGGCAAACACCGGGGGGGGCGGCTTGTTTTACAACGTCGTTGCCAAGCGACGAAAACCCAACCCCGATGGCAAACACCGGGGGGGGCGGCTTGTTTTACAACGTCGTTGCCAAGCGACGAAAACCCAACCCCGATGGCAAACACCGGGGGGGGCGGCTTGTTTTACAACGTCGTTGCCAAGCGACGAAAACCCAACCCCGATGGCAAACACCGGGGGGGGCGGCTTGTTTTACAACGTCGTTGCCAAGCGACGAAAACCCAACCCCGATGGCAAACACCGGGGGGGGCGGCTTGTTTTACAACGTCGTTGCCAAGCGACGAAAACCCAACCCCGATGGCAAACACCGGGGGGGGCGGCTTGTTTTACAACGTCGTTGCCAAGCGACGAAAACCCAACCCCGATGGCAAACACCGGGGGGGGCGGCTTGTTTTACAACGTCGTTGCCAAGCGACGAAAACCCAACCCCGATGGCAAACACCGGGGGGGGCGGCTTGTTTTACAACGTCGTTGCCAAGCGACGAAAACCCAACCCCGATGGCAAACACCGGGGGGGGCGGCTTGTTTTACAACGTCGTTGCCAAGCGACGAAAACCCAACCCCGATGGCAAACACCGGGGGGGGCGGCTTGTTTTACAACGTCGTTGCCAAGCGACGAAAACCCAACCCCGATGGCAAACACCGGGGGGGGCGGCTTGTTTTACAACGTCGTTGCCAAGCGACGAAAACCCAACCCCGATGGCAAACACCGGGGGGGGCGGCTTGTTTTACAACGTCGTTGCCAAGCGACGAAAACCCAACCCCGATGGCAAACACCGGGGGGGGCGGCTTGTTTTACAACGTCGTTGCCAAGCGACGAAAACCCAACCCCGATGGCAAACACCGGGGGGGGCGGCTTGTTTTACAACGTCGTTGCCAAGCGACGAAAACCCAACCCCGATGGCAAACACCGGGGGGGGCGGCTTGTTTTACAACGTCGTTGCCAAGCGACGAAAACCCAACCCCGATGGCAAACACCGGGGGGGGCGGCTTGTTTTACAACGTCGTTGCCAAGCGACGAAAACCCAACCCCGATGGCAAACACCGGGGGGGGCGGCTTGTTTTACAACGTCGTTGCCAAGCGACGAAAACCCAACCCCGATGGCAAACACCGGGGGGGGCGGCTTGTTTTACAACGTCGTTGCCAAGCGACGAAAACCCAACCCCGATGGCAAACACCGGGGGGGGCGGCTTGTTTTACAACGTCGTTGCCAAGCGACGAAAACCCAACCCCGATGGCAAACACCGGGGGGGGCGGCTTGTTTTACAACGTCGTTGCCAAGCGACGAAAACCCAACCCCGATGGCAAACACCGGGGGGGGCGGCTTGTTTTACAACGTCGTTGCCAAGCGACGAAAACCCAACCCCGATGGCAAACACCGGGGGGGGCGGCTTGTTTTACAACGTCGTTGCCAAGCGACGAAAACCCAACCCCGATGGCAAACACCGGGGGGGGCGGCTTGTTTTACAACGTCGTTGCCAAGCGACGAAAACCCAACCCCGATGGCAAACACCGGGGGGGGCGGCTTGTTTTACAACGTCGTTGCCAAGCGACGAAAACCCAACCCCGATGGCAAACACCGGGGGGGGCGGCTTGTTTTACAACGTCGTTGCCAAGCGACGAAAACCCAACCCCGATGGCAAACACCGGGGGGGGCGGCTTGTTTTACAACGTCGTTGCCAAGCGACGAAAACCCAACCCCGATGGCAAACACCGGGGGGGGCGGCTTGTTTTACAACGTCGTTGCCAAGCGACGAAAACCCAACCCCGATGGCAAACACCGGGGGGGGCGGCTTGTTTTACAACGTCGTTGCCAAGCGACGAAAACCCAACCCCGATGGCAAACACCGGGGGGGGCGGCTTGTTTTACAACGTCGTTGCCAAGCGACGAAAACCCAACCCCGATGGCAAACACCGGGGGGGGCGGCTTGTTTTACAACGTCGTTGCCAAGCGACGAAAACCCAACCCCGATGGCAAACACCGGGGGGGGCGGCTTGTTTTACAACGTCGTTGCCAAGCGACGAAAACCCAACCCCGATGGCAAACACCGGGGGGGGCGGCTTGTTTTACAACGTCGTTGCCAAGCGACGAAAACCCAACCCCGATGGCAAACACCGGGGGGGGCGGCTTGTTTTACAACGTCGTTGCCAAGCGACGAAAACCCAACCCCGATGGCAAACACCGGGGGGGGCGGCTTGTTTTACAACGTCGTTGCCAAGCGACGAAAACCCAACCCCGATGGCAAACACCGGGGGGGGCGGCTTGTTTTACAACGTCGTTGCCAAGCGACGAAAACCCAACCCCGATGGCAAACACCGGGGGGGGCGGCTTGTTTTACAACGTCGTTGCCAAGCGACGAAAACCCAACCCCGATGGCAAACACCGGGGGGGGCGGCTTGTTTTACAACGTCGTTGCCAAGCGACGAAAACCCAACCCCGATGGCAAACACCGGGGGGGGCGGCTTGTTTTACAACGTCGTTGCCAAGCGACGAAAACCCAACCCCGATGGCAAACACCGGGGGGGGCGGCTTGTTTTACAACGTCGTTGCCAAGCGACGAAAACCCAACCCCGATGGCAAACACCGGGGGGGGCGGCTTGTTTTACAACGTCGTTGCCAAGCGACGAAAACCCAACCCCGATGGCAAACACCGGGGGGGGCGGCTTGTTTTACAACGTCGTTGCCACGCGACGAAAACCCAACCCCGATGGCAAACACCGGACGAGGGGGGAAACACCGAGGGGGGGGGCTTGTTTTTCAACGTCTTTGCCAAGCGACGAGAACCCAACCCCGATGGCAAACACCGGGGGGGGGG